CCCAGCATATACTATAGAAAAGTATACGGATGCTGGGTCTATCTTATATGTCTATGGCTTCTGCTACCAGTAGTGATGCCGGACGGGACGCGTTTCTGACGCATGCGCGTCGAACGCAGCGTCAGTATCGTACTCGTTACCAGTTAAACGGGAGTTCATTAGTCGCCTACGTAAAATTTGTTAAAAATTCTTAAAAATTGTAATATATTTTATATATTTTACGTATATTACTTACAAATAAATTCACATATATTAAAAATATGACAATTTGCATTTAATAATAAAATATTAGCTGAAAAATAAGAGAAAAGTGTATAATAATTTATGAAACAGTTTTTTTATATTAAAATATTTTACACCTTTCTTATTCTTTAGCTAATATTTTAATATTAAATACAAATTGTCATATTTTTTATATGTGTAAATTTGTTTGTAAGTAATATATATAAAATATATTATAATTTTTAAGAATTTTTAACAAATTTTACGTAGGCGCCTAATGACCCGTTTACTGGTAACGAGTACAATACTGACGCCTAGTACTATTCGACGCGCATGCGCCAGAAACGCGTCCCGTCCGGCATCACTACTAGAGTCACACGTGCACGAGCTTGTACTTGTGTGTGTGCTACCGGTTGCGCCAGGCCGCCGTCCGATGGCGCTAGTCGCGGTGTCTTAACAACTTAAACCGTAACAGAATTGGCATCTCTGGACTGTTATTAGTTCGTTATCGTGTCTTTTCTAAATAAACGGAAAAAGGGTAATTGTATAAAGTTTGACAAAATAAAATGCCGTACGCTAATCAACCATCGGTCCATATTTCGGACTTAACCGAAGAAAATGTGAAATTTCAAGTGGAAGATACCGAATTGAGGTGAGACAGGTTAGATTACGTAGAAGAATCAAAATATGTATATAATTGCAATTTAATTTACAATTAATATTTCCTTATCAGCGTTGCGAATAGCATGAGGCGTGTCTTTATCGCCGAAACTCCGACTATGGCTATTGATTGGATACAACTGGAAGCCAATTCTACTGTTTTGAGTGACGAATTCTTGGCACATAGGATTGGGATGATACCATTGATCAGTGATGATGTACGTGTATACATATATGTGTATATATATATATATATTATGTAGCAATTTATAAAAAATTGAATAGATTTTTCTCAACAAAAATATGAAAATGCAGGTTATATTTTAACAACTAAATTTAATCGTTAAACTGTACATTATATTTTAACGATTAAATTTAACAGTGAAAAGATAAAAGAAAGGTTTGATAAATTATGTATTATTTTAATATTTAAAAAAATTAATGAGCTTTGGTAAATTATGCATTATTAGCATGAATAAATAACAAAATCTTACAGCTACCATGTCATAAGATATACTAAAGGCTAGTCTCACCAATTCTGATTAATGCTAATCTGTAGTTGATTCAATCATTACAATTGTCAATATGAAACTAAACACTGTCTTAAAAGAGGAAGAAAGAGAGGAGACGTTCTGATACATCAAATTGCTGTTGGCACTTGTGCAAATTGATCGTCGATTAATTTAATCAGAAGCTGATGAGAGACCTTAAATGATTTATTGGATATAATACTGTATAGAGGAAACTTTTCTTGTTTATAGGTAGTCGATAGAATACAGTATACAAGAGACTGTCAATGCATGGATTTCTGTCCAGAATGTAGTGTGGAATTTACTCTGGATGTTAAATGTACTGAAGAGCAAACTAGACATGTAACTACTGCAGATTTCAAGTCAAGTGATCCTAGAGTGCTACCTGTCACATCCAGACACAGAGAAGATGATGCAAGTGAATATGGAGAAACAGATGGTATGCAGTCTCTTTTTTTATTACACTTATGGTTATAAAAAAAAGGAATCACTGTAAAGGAATGATTGTATTTGGGATATTCCAGAAATTTTAATAGTAAAATTGAGAAAAGGACAGGAATTAAAACTTAGGGCATATGCAAAGAAAGGTTTTGGAAAGGAACATGCGAAGTGGAATCCGACCGCTGGTGTAAGCTTCGAGTATGATCCTGATAATACTATGAGGCATACTTTATTTCCTAAAGCGGACGAGTGGCCCAAATCAGAGTACAGTGAATTAGAGGAGGATCAATGTGAGTATATTTCTAATAAAAATCCAAAATTTTTTGTAGTTATACTTTAAGCTCCTATTCTATAACTCTTAACGACAGCTTTATGCAATTATCTTTTTTCTATTTATCTATGGGAAAGGGATTATTTATGCTAAATCGTGTAACTACAACACGTCAATACACACAAGAATACACAATCGTGAACTAATAAGATAGTGACATCTGCAGTTAAAATTATTCAATGTAAAAAGGAGGGAGTAGTATATAAATTAATAAATTTATATATACTACATATGTGTGTTAAATAAATGTGTTAGAAATTTCACATTATTGTTACATAGATTTTTATAAAAAGTTTTGCAATATGATATCATCACTGTCATTAAGAATTATAGAATAGGGATTTTATTGTAATGTATACATTTTAGATGAGGCCTCATTTAATTGGGAAGCCAAACCAAACAAATATTACTTCAATGTGGAGAGCAGCGGGGCCTTGAAACCCGAAAACATCGTCATGATGGGGATTGCAGCGTTAAAAAATAAATTATCGAATCTGCAGACACAATTAAGTCATGAAGTGCAAAGCGATGCGTTGAGCATCCATCATTAGAAATAGATTTTAGCTTGATGTTTACTTATAAAATTGTATATCTTATGTCATATTTTATAAAATAAAATAAAAACCTGTAATTATACATATATTGTAAATGATCTGATGTTTTTCAAAATTTGAAAGGAATATAATATAGGGAATATTTTCTATTTCTGTCAACGTAAATTAACTTTAATCTGGCTTTAATTTATTCTTTAGCTTTATCAAATTAGAAAAAAAGATTCTCTCTTTCTCTCTCTCTCTCTATATCTCTCTCTAAGAATTAAAAGAGATTTTCTAATTTTTAATTCTTACCCTGGTGAAAATTTTTCTCAATTTTTTATTTTTATACGAATTGGAACATTTTTCAGAAATACTCAGAAATAATCGGAAAGTTTACATCTTTCAGAATTTTTCATACAAATAAATTCTGAAATATTCTGAAATTTCTCATCCCATAATTTCAAAAAAATATTTTTTAATTTTTTAGATTTTATAACGTTTCATCAGAAATTATATTTACAAAAAATCTTAGAAATCTTATGATATTTCATAATTAACATATATGAAAACTTCTGAGAAAAGATGTAGATTTTCTTAAAAGTGTTCCAATTTATATAAAAAATGTGAGAAGTTATAAAAAATTATATAGAAATTCTGAAAAATTATATGAAAAATTCTAAGAATTTTTACCAGGGCAGGTATTAGAAAAAGATGGAGAGTAAATTAAACCCCCAGATTAGTCAATTAACATTGGAAATAGGCATTAGGAAATCGCTGTCAAGAATTTTCAAAAATTCAAGTCATGTAAGCTAATCAGAGGGCGTTACGAATAATACGAATCACAAATGCTTAGAGTCACTATAATAAAAGTTAAGACAATAGACTGGAAGGACGCCATTGCTGGAACCTCGTTTACACAACTCACACGTACAGAGTACGTTACACACTCCCGTTTTCACTACCTACACAGTACATGTATACAAACTCACGTTTTCACTACCATCGCACGGTCACAGGCATAGCGACCAATTCGGAGGGCCGAATCGCTGTGTCTCGACTCTTATTATAGTGACTACAAGGCTGAAATGAACATAGTACAGTGATCTTGATACAGCCAGTGTTTTGCAATGCTTTAAAATGCTGTCAAAGTGTCAAATTACAATTGTTTCATGATATGTTTTATTAATAAAGACATGTCGTTGATACAATATATAAAACACATCTGTATTATATTGGGCGTTTTATTCAATTGATTTAGAGACTGTTAAGTGCATGGCACACCGTCTTGGGCAGATCGAGTACCGAAACATCGGTTTTCATTAAAATGGCTGTCAAAGAGAGACAAAACGAAACCTCATTCGACGAAATAGAATGGAACGTGGAAAGCGAAATTCAACTTTTTTTCGCCATGAATGGACACAAGCCAGTTGGTAAGATGCAAAAGCCGGTGATGAGGGGTTATGTTTACCCTTATTTTCTATATTTATTTCTTCCAACGTAATTTTAACCTCGGTTTAATTTATTCTCTGTTTTTTCCAATTCATAGACCTAGGAAAAGATAAAAAGAAAGTTAAACCGAGATTAAAATGAATCTACATTGGTAGAAATAGACATTGAGTGATTTCAACCAAACTCTGCTTGATTGGTAATTAAATAATTAAAACAAAATCTCTGTGCATGGCTTTCTGCTCAAATTGTAGCGTCCGTAATATAATTTGTATATATATAAGTATATACATATTTTAAATAAAAAATCCTATGTTAATAGAATACTACAGGTATTACTTGACAAATTGATCACCGATTAAGTTAATGAAAGTTTGATCAGTTTATTATTAATAAACAATTATATTTTGCAACTGTAATTTTGATAATTGTTCAATTATCAGGTATCAATAAATATTTCCATATGGTGTGTATATGGGAAAAATTTCGTGCTGCTATTCACAAAGATGTTCCATTAAAACTAATTTGGGATCACTTGGAATCCATGTACGACCTTGTGTCTTTGGTAAGTGACAACATACATAATAAATTTTATATTCTAAAATAAAGTTATATTTAGCATTATGCTAGGATAAACAAGTTTCTATAAAATTATTCTGAACATTATATAATATATTAATACAATATATTTTGTGCATATATATATAAAATATATATTAATAATTAGAATTATCAGCAATTATATCTTTGCATACATAATTTTTATATCGTGAGTATCAATATTTACAAGAGACAATTACATTGCAATTACCTTTCACTTTTAGCATTTTGCGTTGTTCATACTTGAATGTGCAAATTGATGGTATAATTCGCTAACTTTAAATATTTATAATTTATAATTCAAAAAACTATTACAGCTTTGACATTTTGATATTAGAATTTTTGTCTTGATCTTAGGAATCTCTCCTTAAGCATTCCAATTTTTATTTAACTCATCATATTATCACTATACAAGGCCAATAATATATTTGTCTATTTTTATAGGCAATTGACATGCTTGAAAAATTTCGTACTAAAAATAGACAATTATAATATTAATCTATACTGCTTTTAACGACGTAAATGTATATATAGAAAATAAGTCGATATTATAAAAAAAAATTATATTATGTACTGTAAATAAAATGCTATAAATAACTAAATATATCAAAAATAAGTCGATTTTATAAAAAAAAATTATATTATGTACTGTAAATAAAATGCTATAAATAACTAAATATATCATTATATCTTTTTAAATAGCTTTACTTTATAAGTGCTAAATACTTTATACTGGTTAGATTTCTGCATTTAAGATTTACTTTTGACACCTTGTATATTTATTTATATACATATTGAATTTTTTGATAGGACGATATGGAAGGTTTACCTTTTCCTGGTCACGAGATAGATTTTTCCTTACCGGAGACTGAATTCGTGGGAAAGCCACGGAAAAGGGAAGAATTAGAGATAAAACTGAAAGATCAGAGGGATAAATATAAGGAAATTAAAAAAGAAAAAGACATCAAAGAGAGTTCTAAGAAAGATAGCATGTTACGTGATTTTAAAGGAACCAAAGATGTGGAAAAGAAAAAAGAAGAGATTAAAAAATGTGTAAAGGAGGTAGATATAAAAAAGGATAAGTTTAAAGATATAAAAGAGACAAGGAAAGAACATAAATCATCAAAAGGACGTTCAAAAGGGAAGGAAGATTCAGAAGAAAGCGGTATTTTAATATTTGATTTTGGTTATTTAGTATTTTTCTCCAATAGAGTTGCACACACAAATTGTATTTTCGTTTCTTTTAAGCATCAAATGGAAAGAAGGAGCGTAAAGAATCCGAATCTAGTCGCGAACTCGCGAAAAGGATTCCAAAGAGACCAACCAGACAAAGCGTGGATAGTTCTTCCAAAGCTTCTTCCAGTCCACGCGATACACCTCCACCAAAACGAAGAAGAATATAACAGTTATTATAAATTAAATGGACATTGACGTATGTCTAAGAACTTCAGTTATACAACTCATCATATTATCACTATACAAGGCCAATATTATATTTGTCTATTTTTATAGGCAATTGACGTGCTTGAAAAATTTTGTACCAAAAATAGACAATTATAATATTAGTCTATACTGCTTTTAACGACATAAATGTATATATAGAAAATAAGTCAATTTTATAAAACAAGAATTATATTATGTGCTCTGTAAATAAAATGCTATAAATAACTAAATATATCATTATATCTTTTTAAATAGCTTTACTTTTTAAGTGCTAAATACTTTATACTGATTAGATTTCTGCTTTTAAGATTTACTTTTGACATATATACATATATCTATTAAAAATGTGGAATTTTTATATTCAAAACTGAAGAGCTATTTGAATTTCAGATTAATTTCATAGTTAAAAAAGATATACAATCCTAACACTAAGAGAAAGCAAACAAGATACAAAAATAAATAACAAAAATGTAAATATATTATATTAATAATCTTTAGATTGCAAATAAGAAACACTCAGTTTATAATTCATCGCTAGAGCTTACAAGCTGGATAAGGGAGAAGTATAATGACAACACCATGAAACTTGTGGTTACCAGCCAAGATTTATTGTAAAAAGCGTGGAATTCTTATGCGTCAGGAATGTTTTCAAGAAAATGCGATCCTGTTCCGCGATCGGCAACATCCTCTCGATCTCGAGAAGCACGTGGCAGAAGTGTCTGTTGTCGACGATCCTTGATCCATAATCCATGTGCAGGAGCGATCCACGTTCAGGAAATGCGTATCTGCTGAAGTCCGGTAGTAGTAGTAGTAGTAGTAGTAGCAGCTGGCGACCGTTTTTTTCCGGTGTTAATAAAAACCTCACGTTATCGAAGTCTTCTCGCCTCGCGTTCGGACTCTAGCAAGGTTAGGAGGTCGCCCTCTCGTACCGGTCCCTTCACGTTCCTGATGATCTGCCGATTCTGCTCGCCCAGGAATTCTACTTTCACCTGGGTGCACTGCCCCTGCGAGCCAGTGCGACCCAGAACCTTAATTACACGCGCCAAAACGACTGGTTTATCCATGATCGCCTCTTTCTCACGTGGACTGTGACTCGAAAGAGATATCTGACGCAAATGGAAGGAGCACGCGTAGACGACCGCTTTTCTCTGTTCGATTTCCGGATTTCCGGTGAGTCACTGCTGTCGAAATACGTAATTTTTGAACGGAAACGGGATCACGTATAGATCACTTTCATTCGTAAAAGTGAATGTGTCGAATGGAACAAAAAGATTAAATATTAATGAAATATTGGAAAATATTTGTTGTATGTTACTGCAAGAAATTTATTGAATTTACTATGATTGTTGTCACATTATTTATTCGAGCGGAAAAAAATAATAGTCTCTTATTTGTGAGTAATAATAACGATTAAAATTACAGTAATTTGTTCGCAATTTTTAATTAATTTTCTTTTTTATTAGAATTGTCGATGTCTTGTTGAGTTTTTCATTGTTAAAGTAAGATGTAAAGTCTTTATTAATATTAAATATTATTAGTATTCCGAAATTTATTGACTTAAATTTTAAATATACTTATCTATATACATCTATATCTTAACATTTTTATTAAAATTTTTTAATTTTTGTTAACTGCTAGATAGAATTAACTGCTTGATGAAACTAAGCTGTTATATCTTTCGTATGTGTTAAATTTCATCATATAATTAAATATCTAAAAATATAGATCTAAAAAATATCTAGAAATATAATTAAATATCTAGAATATATATAGATAATTCATTTTATTTTTATTAGAATAACGCATTTTATTTTTATTAGAACTATTCTCACAAAGGAGGTGAATAACATATAAATCAAATAGCAGGGTTGGGTAAGTTAATTTTTTCTTTTAACTAGGTTAAGTTAAAGTTAACAACCTTGAAAATTTAACTTAGTTAAGATACAAGTTAATGTATAATGAAATTAATTGATTTAAAAGTTAAGTTAATAAAAAAAGTAATTGAAAAATTAAAAGTTAAATTTCTTTATTTTATGATTTCAGAGTCTTACAAATAACGCAAATGACAAACATATCTTCATTTAGAATATACTCTATATTTTATTTAAACTTTTTGTTTATATATAATGTTAGGAGTATGTTCTAAATGAAGTATATGTTTGAGTCTGAGACTTAACTTCAAAAAATTTAAATAAAAAGTTAATAGTTATTGATAAACTGTAAGTAAATAAAGTTAAAAAGTTAAGAGTTTAAAATGTAACTAAATTAAGTTAAAATTATTTAACTTTTCACCTTTTTAACTTAACTTTTAGCTTTTTAACTTAGCACTACCCAACCCTGTCAAATAGTGCTGAGTGCAACGAATTGGCGCACAGAAATTATCTATTTTGTGTATATAATAAATATGTTTAAAATGATTCACAAAATGATTTATCTGTTTTCTTAAAAAAACGTTAATTAATTCTTTTTAATTTACCAATTTTTTTGTTATACTGACAAATTGTGTTAGCCTAAGAAATTTAAAATTATTGAGGATACTAGTAACTTATCGGATTTAATGTCTTTTTAAATGCGTCTGTTATGTGTGTCACAAGTTTTATTCATCTCGCTTAACAGTTTCACGAGTGATAAATAATAGAGTAATCAAATCAATAAAATGTCGTTATATTTTGACACAAATACACTATTTCATAATTACTTAATATAATAGTAATTCATATAAATAACAGCTTGATACTGTAGGCAACAATTAAGATGAGCTTCCTTAAGTCCCTCTTGGTATAGCTTTCACTGATTATCACTTATAGTGATTTATTTGTTTATTTATATTAACGCAAATACTTGCCAAAAATACTGCGTTTCGCTATACCCATATACAGTGTGTTGCGCTTTTTTTCTCGACTACAGGTTCCTTAGAAACTAAATTTGGGTTTTTTCGTATTGACAATCAAATCTCACATTAAAAGTAACGTAAAATCAGAAGAATAAGACTATTATTTTATTCACATTCCTGAATTTATAATTCATTACGAATTACTATAATCCTAGTTATAGAACCTGTAAGAAAAAGCGCACAATGCTTAAACAGTCTGTATAATCATCATTATCGGTACTTTGAAAGACAGGTTGTGATTATACATCTAAGTATAGTAGTGCCTCCCACGTATTAAATCATATGAACAATGTATTAATAAAAAATATTGCTCGTAAAATGTTTCATGATAGTATACAGAAAAACATAATGAATAATTTATTACATAAATTATATATTATCAAATTACATGATGTGAACGGTTCAGATAATAAATTAATTAAATATATATTAAGAAGAGCTACAAACCAAGTGAAAACACAAAAATGTAAGTGCTAAGCAAATATATTAGTAAGCGCTAAAACAAATTAAAACAAAAATAAATAGAAATGAATATAAAACAAACGGCGTTTCGACTCCAATCGGGTCATTATCAATGTTAGACGTGTAAAAACTTTCAATAAATTAATAGTAAAAACATATTTGAAATAGCAACAGTCTATAACTAAAAATTACAAACTACGTCTGAACTACGAAAATAAAAACTTTTTTAATTGTACTAACTTCAGCTGGATGTATAAAAAGAAAGTAAAATAACATACTATGGTTATCGCAACGGTATCAAAAATATTGCTGTTGTACATCCAATAGAGATCATCTTTGTAATTGTGCGCAAGATGGTACAGAGAAAATTCGCTATAGACATGTCGCAATACGTTAGTTAATATATTAAGTTTATGTTGATGACAAATAGCTAATAAAACAGTTTGTCAAAATAATAATATAAAATATAAAATAAGAAATGTTCGTTAATAAAAGGCTCATAAAAAAGAAAATCGTTAGTATAAATACCTTCCAATTTTCAATGCTAAGTATTAATAACATCAGTCAGAATGTGAAAAAATATATAATATCGGTTGTGTAAAAATTTGAGATTCAAAAAGTAATCAGTCTGTTAAAATAATATAAAGTATGAAAAAATATTCGTTGATAAAGAACTCATATAAAAAAAGGAATAAAATCTTAAAATAAATACCTTAAAATTAGTTATAATGTTAAATAAAATGACATCAGTCAGAATATAAAAATATTGATAGAACAAAAGGTTTAAAACTCGAAGTACAAACAGTGTGTCCATATATGTACAGCAATAAGATAAATAAGCAAATTGCGATTATTTTATACTTTATATTGTTATTTTGACAGACTGTTTTATTAGCTATTTGACATCAACATGAACTTAATACATTAACTAACGTATTGTGACATGTCTATAGCGAGGTTTTTTCTCTGTACCATCATGCGCACAATTACAAAGATGATCTCTATTGAATACAAAAGCAATATTGTTAATACCGTTGCGATAACCATAGTATATTATTTTACTATCTTTTTGTACATCCAGCTGAAGTTAGTACAAAAAATTTTTATTTTTGTAGTTTGCAATTTTTAGTTATAGACCGTTGCTATTTCAAATATGTTTATACTATTAATTTATTGAAAGTTTTTACACGTCTAACGTTGATAATGATCGGAGTCGAAACGTCGTTTGTTTTATATTTATTTCTATTTTTGTTTTAATTTGTTTTAGCGCTTACTAATATATTTGCACCCAATCGGAGTCGAAACGCCGTTTGTTTTATATTTATTTCTATTTTTGTTTTAATTTGTTTTAGCGCTTACTAATATATTTGCTTAGCACTTACATTTTTGTTTTCACTTGGTTTGCCCCCTTCTTAATATATATTTAATTAATTTATTATCAAATTATTTGCGATTGCAAAGATCTTCTAAAAATTTTCTTTTCAAAAGAACATTTTATACATAATTTTTATGCATTATTATTCAATTTAACTTAATTAAAATGTGATATCCAATTAAAATGCTTCAAAATTCTTAGCACCAATATATGACTTATGGTTTTTTTCTCATATTTCATAGATATTCATAATAAATAAATTGCTGAACTATTTAAATCTCATTGTCGCAACAGTAATATATTCTATATCTTACGCAAATGTAAAAAATGCGTTATATCTCGCATTCATATTATTTTGTATTTATTTACTAATACAGAATAAATGTGGACACATATTGCACGTGTCGAATATAATACCTTAAAAATAAATTGAAAATCCAAGTCTTTTCACGTCTCTGACGAAATTCGTACATATGCAATGTACATCTTTGAATCAGCGTTTGAAATCGGTATGGTTTAAGTGAATTCCATTTTCGATATCGTTCCATACGAGAAAATGTGCTTCATGTTAACTGAAATATTTTTATTTTATCGAATGAACTCACAAAAACACATAGCAATTCTAGCAATCAAATTCAAGTTAATAAAAATTATACAGTTTTCCACTGATTCGAATGAATGCTTTGTTATATTGAAAATGGACCCTGACATATATATTTCAATTGCAATTACAAAAAGCTTTCATTGTAGCAACATAATTTTTACCATTAGGTACATATTTAGTGTCACACAAATAACTTCTTACTTTCATTCAAAGACTTGTCTTATTTTTATTCCAGTTTCTTTTTTTCTCAAGTAATGTTGAAAGCTGATGGAGGCTTTCAAATAAAAATATGTATCTACTTGAAGCTCTATAAACATCGACGAATTATGTGTTGAGACAACAATCGAATATAATTTTTCTTTTTTCATTTTAGTGTCTCCGTCGTCAGTTCTATTACTTTCCAAAGCAATGTCCAATTGATGGACATGGAAATTTGTTATTACATTGGATAATAAACTGTCGACATTAGTATGCAACACTGAATGAGATAATCAGGCTAACAATATCCGCAATAATTTTACTGCCATAAGTTTGTGGAAAGGGTCTGCCCAGGTAGCGCGGCAGCGGCAGGCTTGCCTGTAGAGGCAAAGTTCATATCGCCCAGAGACATCTGCGACATTTGTTGTGGCAACTGTAACATCATGAATTATGTCATAAAAATAAGACTAATTTGACTTAATGTAAATAACACATTACAAAGTATTACAAAGTTTTAACAAAAACTTTTTACTTTATATATTCATATCTTGTAGAAATTATATATGATCATAAATTACATAAAGCACTTAAGTTTACATACCTGAGCGGTAA